ATGATTGTAAAATGCATTTAGAAGTTGAAAGAGTGTCAAAGAACTGTACAAGTTATGCTTAAAATTCTCAGTTATAACTTTCAACGCATTTTTCACATAGAAAATATTGAAATGTGGACAAGGCTATTTCTAAAGGAATTATACCGATTTGAGTTAAATTTTTAACGCATTTTGAATTACCTCAATCGGATATTGGAAGATAAAGTTATGATAAAAATACTGACAATTGATCAGATGCCGCTTATTTGTCGCTTGCCTGGCGCTCGAGTGACGGGTCGACGTACAGGGTTATGTTTTGCTTCAAACACTTTGTTTTTCAATCTATTTTCATCTCAAACACTTTCTCCTATATATATCCCATCCTATGGGATGTCCAAGATAGTGGTTGAACAATATTTTGATTATAGAGATCATTCTTTGATGATTCAAAATATTTATTGATTCCAAGATTCGACTAACACACGTTACTTGATCCATAAATTCTTTCAAAACATATTTTATTGATTAAGCCATATTGTTTCATATTAAACTACAGATCAAAACGCATAAAATCTTTTGATAAAACACCAAATCACCTAATCCATGGAGATAAATCGATACCAAGATCGGGAACTGTTGCGAAAACACAAATTCAGGATGACTAAAGTGAGATACTAGGAGTTGAGAGCTGACGTCAGAAGCACGCAGTCCAATATGACTAAGTATAAACTAGGATTTGGGATTTATTTTGAAGGAGCGCACCTCTAGTAGGATCAAGGGAGACGGTGGGAATTGATGTCAAAAATTTTATGGGGTAGACTAGTTCGTACCGTACTGTAAGTTTGTTTCAATTTATCGTGGATTACTGATTGGGAAAGCGCTCGAAGTTTTAAGCCAGATGGGGTTTCTCCATGATCGTATTTGATGTTCTTTACTACTTTTAATTAGTGATTGTGATATTTAAGCTTGGGATAAATTGACTTGTTCGATCAAATCATTTAGAAATAATTAAAAAGTGATTTGTTACTTCTAATTGTATAATTCCGCACGTTGAGTCTAAATGAATCAACTAATTTAAAACTTGCACTTTCTAATCATCCAAATAATTAATATTCAAGCTTGAATTCTTTAATGTCCGTTTGATTGCAATGGTGGAAAATGAGTGGAAAAAAAATGATTTTCAGGGCAAGTAATTGTTTTGTAAAGAATTGTTAATTAAGTGTGTTTGATTGATTTAATTTTACACCCGGAAAATTTTAAAATTTTCTATTCGTTTGGGTTTTTTTATATGGAAATTGTCTATTAAAGTGATAATTTTTTCCACAATTGGTTATAAAATTTTTTTATTGCCAAAAAGTAAAAAAAAGGAAAGAAAAAAAAATTATTTCCTAAAAAATCATTTTTTTCTTCAAAATTTAGTGTTCGTTTGACTTTATTTTACATGAAAATTGTCCATTAAAATGATTTTTTTTTTTTATACTTGATTATAACATTTGTTTCCATTGCAAAAAAAAAAAAAAAAAAAAAAAACAGAAAAAAAAAAACAAAAAAAANAAAAATTCAGCAGCCGCCTGGAAAAGGCGGGAAAAAATTTTCATCTAAAACCCGGAAAATAGGCACGTGGGGGCTGGGGAGGGAAAATATTTTCCGTAGAAAATTTCCTCTTTCAAACAGTCAAAAAAGTGAAAAATAAAAAATATTTTCCAAGTTCCATGGAACATTCCGCAAATCAAACGGGACCTTAATTCTCAAAAAGAAAAGTTGGCAAGTTACGAGTTTAACGAGGCATTATTGACTTAATTCAAATTATTACACCTACTTACCAGTCATCCTATAATATCAAATTAAAAAAAAATTTCCATGCCTATTAATGGATTAATTAAAACCAACATTCAGTTGAAGTCTGGCCTATTTTGACAAAGAAGACGAAAATCATTTGGGATTTCTGGAGAATTTATTTGAAAAATCACTAATCGAAGAATCTTGGAAACTTTCTATATTTGCAATTTCATCATTTAGACAAGGAGGGTGACAATAGTATGTTAGAATCCAAATAAGAGAGCGATTAAAAATAAGTAATAATTAATGTTTAACTGACTTTCATGGATAAACGTATTATTTTGTTTTTTTTGAAGATATTCACCCAATCAATTATATTCTCCTATTTGATAGGGATTAGAATTAGATTTTAGTAAAATTTGATAAAAATTGATGGAACGTGTAATTGAAAAGTTGTAGATCATGTGAAATATATTTAGTTAATATTAATTATTAATTTTAACTTAGATTTTAATCAGATTTTTTAATAATACCAAACAAAGACTAAGAATATTGCTAGCAAGAATTAAACTTGTTGTACGCTCGAGGATGTGATAAAATCTATATCATTGATTGTTTAAAATATTTTAAAAACCAACGTATAAATACTTTTTTCAATACCTTACAATAATGTCAAACTTGATATACATGTAACAAGATTGGGCTAGCAATGTTATAGTGTCCATTGTCCACAAGTTTGATGTCGTATGGGTCATTCTTGATTTGAAGTATATACTCCCTCCGTCCCATATATATAGGCTGAGTTTCCATATTTTCTTATCCCAAATATATAGGCTTGTTTCTTAATTGAGAATGTTATGTTTTGTTCTTTTACTAA